TCTTAGAGGCTGGGGGTGGAGCAACTAGTCGACTAGTGTGTTGACTGTCCGATAGTTCATACTGTTAATACATTGAGTCAGGGCATCCTGCATTTCAGAGTCCTATATAACAATGAGTTGTGACTGAATAACTTGCAGCAGAGTTGTCTTCACCATTACTTGTGCTTTCCTTCCAACTCTGGTTAGTGGAGATGCTGGAACTTTACCTTGCATTGGAGAGAACTGACACCCTGCATAATACAGGATTGGTATCTGCATCTGTAGCCACAAAAATGAACAGCGGGTATTGTATCGACATTTGTGGATGCGGATACCTGTGGCTATAAAGTGGATTATTGCAAAATTGCAAAGTTCTAGATACAAAACTTGTATCCAAATTCGTATCCACAAAAATGACTCATGGATACCCACGGATATGCAAGACTCTGTCCCAGGGTTTATTAACTTCCAAGGATAAATGTATTTTTTTTTAAATTAATCTCTTTAATTCCTGAATGGAGTTTTAATTCTGGAGAAAAAGCTCCAGAGCAGTGTTGATAGTAGCTCTCCTGGGTAGTGGCCAATTTTGGGAGAAGGAACTCGTGGGATAGTTGGTGGAGAAACAGGAGCATTGACCCTTGAAGTGGCTGGCTGGCCTAGGAATGTGCTACAGCTGGATGCCAGTAGTGTGCACAGGAGAAGCAGCATGCAAGCCTGCATGGAAAAAGAGTTGTGCAGATAAAAATGAAGAGGAAGGCCTGGAGTTAGAGCCAGATCTAAAATTAAAGAGGTTTGCAGTGCAACAGGAAAGTGGCAGACTGGTCTCCAGGCTTGTTTTGGGGCTCATTGAACACCTCAGTTCCAATAAATTACCGAAAAATATTTGGAGGAACTGCGAGTGCATCTTGAGTGGCTTGGTCCTGCTGCCTCCTACAGTTGATTCATGTTAAATGCCATGATTCAATCAGAACCTGGGAACTCATTAGAAAAGTAAACATCTGCTGACTTGAGGATTCAGGATCAGGCTGTGCTTTGCCTTCGGCTCTGGGGCTTTCCACGTATTCCGCCTCTTCACTGTAGCCTCGCTGACTTCCCTTGTGTTTCTGGGCAACCATCCACCCACTTCTGGAAAAACTACACGCTGACCTTTCCTTTCTGAGGGCAGGCGTTGAGAATGCTTTCTGCTTCTGCAGGCAGTGGGAGCGCTTTGGTGCGGCTACTTCAGGAGGAATCCTGCAAAGTGGAACAGATCAGCTCTTATAGTAAGGAAGAGCTGCAGCATTTCTTGGCGCAGTGCAGCATCCCCTGGGGGGCAGCAGACACGAAGGTAACAGGCCTATTCCCTGTCAGACCCTCCAACTAGTTTTGGAAGGAGAGCCATTCCCCTGCCTTGTAAGACAAGAGGAGATGAGGTGGTGGTTATTCAGAATGGCAATATGAGAAATAACTTTTCACTCCACTCTATTTAGGAAGGAGATGGATTAGAAATGAAGAGTCCCTGCAGATTACAGGGTAATTGACATGTGGTGAAAAAATTCAACCCTCGTGGGTTGGAAAATTGAAACCTCTAATTACTCTGTCATGGGCTTCTCATCTTGGAGTTGCTTGTCATCCTTGTGGTACTGACCAAGGAATTAAAAGGCTGTTAGTTACCATGTTTAAAATACAGCTCGTGTGATATTTCACTTGCAGCCGTGACTTTCTTTGGAGAGCCCCAGGCTTTGAATCTTAATTTAAATGCAGGCTTTTCTCTTGGTGTCTCTGTTCTTAGGACCAGCTTTGTTATTCCCTCTTGGCTCTCTATGACTTTGTACAGAATGGGGCAGGTGCCAAACAACCCCCTGTCCATCACACAGGAGGCAAAATCTACAAAGTGTGTCCACATCAGGTAAGGCAGACCAGAAATGTATTGTCACTGTCAGGTGTGATTGACAAATATTTAGACAGTGACTTGACTGACACATGACCTAACACAAAATATGTGTATGGCTTTTAATCCCTTGGAAGAATAAACAGGAAGCTGAGTGTAGACAAGTAGTGAATTTTGGGCTCTTGTTCTCCACACTCAAGCGTGAGGAGAAATGAGCCAAGTGTTCTCTTGGAGGTGGCGTTTGCTTCCCAGAATCATTTGTGCCACGTTGCACAGAAGTAAGAGAATAAGGCTAAGATGGTTGGTGTTGAGTTCTTGACTCTGCCACGGAAGTAGAATTGGAAATTATGTATTCCAGGCAAGGAATGAATCAGCTTGTCTGGGAAGGAGAGAGAATCTAAATGACAAGAGGTGGTTGAGTCCAGGTAGTTTCTAGATTCACTGAGGATGTGTAACACTGGATTTCTTCTGTATTCTTTATTCTTTAGAATTTGCCTCTCTGCTCTAGTGCAAAGCACCAGCCCAGAAATTCATGTTTTTCTTCACTTTCTTCCGAGGTGGTGTGTGGCTCAAAGTACATTGTGAGAGGGGAAAGTGCCCGGGATCACGTGGACCTGCTAGTCTCCTCACGCCACTGGCCACCAGTCTATGTGGTGGATATGGCTTCTTCAGTGGCATTGTGTGCAGATATCTGCTGCCCTGACCTGACTACCCAGATGTGGGGGAAAAACCAGGGATGCTTCTCTGATCCCATGGAGCCCCCAATGGTTAGTTACATTATTTCATTTATGCTGTCTGCGAGGGTAATAGGATTATTCTGCATTGTTTGGTGGGCAATGAATGCAGAGTTTAAAAAAGAAAAAGTGAGGAGGGATTTATGCAACCTTTTATTACTAGACTAATCTTGGAATTTTGACTACAACGTTCTGCTTATCAAGATGACTGAATCGTGGAAATGTGTGTCTTGTGACCTTCCCAATGCTGGGGTTTCACTTACGTGTGTCTCCTGAGGAGAGTTACAGATTGTACTGTCGATATTGCATGACACTTGCACGCCTCACTGAGTCACTGGTTTTCCAGTGCAGTCTATTGAATCCCACAGCTGTCCAACTCTCAGACAATGGTGACGTGAAATGTATTTTTAAGGGGGCCAGTGCTGTATAATGTACCTTTTTCTATTGGAAATTACTTACCTGTGAGGAGGAGTCAGAGACCATCGCTGGTGTGCTGCTGCTGTTTTAAAACTGTGTGATAGTGGCACTGAGTCACTGGTTTTCCAGTGCAGTCTATTGAATCCCACAGCTGTCCAACTCTCAGACAATGGTGACGTGAAATGTATTTTTAAGGGGGCCAGTGCTGTATAATGTACCTTTTTCTATTGGAAATTACTTACCTGTGAGGAGGAGTCAGAGACCATCGCTGGTGTGCTGCTGCTGTTTTAAAACTGTGTGATAGTGGGGTGTATTGGACCATCCTCCTAGGCAGGGCCAGCCCGAGCCATTTTGGCGCCCCGGGCCCCAGGTGCGTGGCGCCGTCCCAGGGGCGCGT